ATGCACGCAAAAGTTGGAGAGAGAATAAGGAAGACCAGAAAAGAATCTATACCTTCAAATTATGGTGTTGGAGAAGAATAGCAGACGTATCATGAACTGCCAGAATGACAAACAAATCTGTCTTAGAAGAAGTGCAACCAGAATGCTCCACAAAAGCTAGGATGGCAACACTTCATCTCTCATACTTCAGGAGTGTTATCAGAAGGGACCAGTAACTAGAGGACATCATGTTTGGTTAAACAGAACATCAGTGAAAAAGAAGAAAAACCACAAGAAAATGGATTGACACAGTGGCATTAGCAGTGGGCTTAAGCAGAACAACAACTGTGAGGATGGTGAAGGACAGGGCAGTGATGTGCACAGTGTCACTATGAGATGTAACAACTTGATCGCCCCTAACAACAACAGCATCCATACTTTCACCTGTCTAACAAATATTGACTTATGATTACCTGATATAATGTTAGCGGAGCTACTAAAAAAATCAGTGAAATATTATCACTTCAAAACACAAAGTTATGGGGAAGATAAAATGTACAATAAATAAGGTTGTTGTTAAGTGTCAATGAGTCAGTTCCAACTCATAGCAACCCTACACAGGGTTTCCAAGGAGCATCTGGTGTATTTGAAACATCAACCATGAGGTTAGCAGTCCAGTGCTTATCCTACAGCATCACACCAAGACTCTGCAATAAGTAATAAGATGAAGTAACAATTTAAGACTCATTTAAAAACAAAAATATCCATAGCATTTCACATTACTGCAAAAGAACAAGCATATTGTAAGTTCCTGGAATCAGTCTTTATCCTGAGATGTGAGGATAAAAAATGTTGCAGAAAGAATAGAACTATTATGTGTAGCCACAACGAAAGGTGCATCATACAGTGGGGGCCTCTGCAAGCAGGCTTTTATTTTCACAAGACATCTGAGAGATTTCATTCAGATAACTTCTGACCCCATATATGTGGTCCGATGAATCATACCTGTTCTGACTTAAGCACAAATTTTACTTAAAAACAGACTTAGGGACTGAACTTGTTTGTAATCTCCAGACTGCCTGTATATAATATCGAGTTCACACAATGTCCAGATCACATAACATCCTATCTTACAAAATGTTAACATAGATTTTAAGCAACACATGGTAGTATATTATAAACTAGACTGCTACAAAACTTTTAAAGATAAAACAATAATTGCAAATTATGGAATAAAGGTTCCTACCAAGTCAATCACATTTGTAAGCACCACTCTCTTAAAGGCAATACTATAAAAAAGAAAAACAATTGCCATTGAGTCTGACTCATGGTGAGTGCTAGAGTAGAACTGTACTGATATTTTAGAAGCATACATAGATCATCAATTTCTTCTTCCAAGGTGCTTTTGAACGGACCTGAACTCCCTACCTTTAGATTAGCAGACAAGCACATTAGCTATTTGCACCTGTCAGAAACTTCAGACAATACAGAAAAACCCTAACACATTGTGGGGTCAAGTCAATTCTGACTCATACAAATCCTACAGGACAGAGTAGATTTGCCCACATAGGGTTTCCAAGGCCATAAATCTTAACAGAAACAGATTGCCACATTGTTCTCCTGCAGAGCAGCTGGTAGGTTTGAACCACTTCCCTTCTGGTTAGCAATAAAGAACTTTAACCAGTGACCCGCCAAGAATCCTCTAGCAAATACAGACATTTACAAAGCTTTAAATATCTGATAAAGTTTCTACATTCTTTTCCTCACACAAACACAAAATGACCTGTATCTTTAGGCAGCTATACCAAACTAACTCCCATAAAGTGGATTTTGACTCACAGCAACTCTATTGTTGTTATTGCTATGTGCCATGGTTCCGACTCACAGCGACCCTGCACAGGGTTTCTGAGGCTGTGAATCTTTACGAAAGCAGAAAACCTCATCCTTCTCCCACAGAACAACTGGTAGTTTTGAACTGCTGACCTTGATATTAGCAAACCGAATCGTAACCACTACACTACGAGAGCTCCTTTCTACGCTACCACAGTAACTCTCTAGGGCAATAGACCTGCTCCTTAAGGTTTCTGAGACTATAAATCTTCACAGGAACAGACAGCTTCATCTGTTTTCTAAAGAGTGACTGGTGAGTTAAGTCTACTATTAATTAGCAGCCCAACACCTAATCCACAGCACCTCAGGTGGCTGTGGTTGTGGTTATGTGCCATGGAGTAGGTTCTGACTAGCAACCCTATACAGGGTTTCCAGGGCTGTAAATCTTTACGAGAGCAGACCTCAGGTAGCTATATAAAAAACAAACCCACTGCCACAGACTAGATTCTGTCTCTTAGCAACCCGATAGGACAGAGAAGAATGACTCCTCTTTAAGGTTAGCTTGAGGACTAAGGTGCGCCTGACCCAAGCCAATAACCTCATATGCATGTGAAAGCTGGACAGTGAATAAGAAAGACCATAGAAGAATTGATGTTTTTGAGTCATGATGTTGGAGAATATTGAAAGTGCCATGGGCTGCCAAAAGAACCAACAGATCTGTGTTGGAAAAAGTGCTGCCAGAGTGCTCCTTGGAGGCCAAAATGGCCAAACTTCGTCTCTCATACTTTGGACATATTGTCAAGAGAGACCAGTTGCTGAAGAAGGATATCATGTTTGGTAAGGTGAAGGGACAGAGAAAAAGAGGAAGACCCCCAGCGAGATGGATTGGCCAAGTGGCAGCATCGATGGGCTCAAGCGTGGCAACAATTGTGAGGTTGTCCCAAGATCAGGCAGTATTTCGTTCTGTTGTGCATAGGGTCGCTATGAGTCGGTACCAACTCGATGGCACCTAACAACAACATATGGTTTCCAAGGAGCAATTGGTAAGCTTGAACCACCAACTTTATGGTTCAAACAGACTTTGCAGCCCAGAGCATTAACAACCCACAGCACCACACCAGGGCTCTGTGGTGGTGGCGGTGGTTATGTGCCGTGGTGTCAGTTCCGATTCACAGCGACCCTGTAAAGGGTTTCCGAGGCTGTAAATCTTTACGGGAGCAGCAAAAGCCTCATCTTCCTCCCACAGAACAGCCGGTAGTTTCGAACTGCTGACCTTGCGGTTCACAGCCTGATTAGTAACCACTTCACTACCAGAGTTCCTTACCAGGGCTCTGTAGGACCCCTGAAATACATAATATATTTCTGAATCCCAGTTAAGAACTAGTGTAAAGTTACTATGGATCACAGAAATGATGCCCCAAGATTTTACTCAAGATAGGTACTGGGATATAGTGGTTTTCAAAAAGTTCATTACACAGGCAAGGGGGAATAAGATTCTCTGTTTCCCTCTCTCACAGACACATACACACAAAGCAACTAAATAAAGTGTGCTACAAAAACTTATTAAGGGGTAAAGTAATATAAAAAATTATTTCCCTAAGAATATGACAACTAAAGTAGGAGTAAGTATTAAATGGACTAAAAAGATGAAAATGAGTTTCAGATACATGGATCAGCATATACAAACATATGTAGAGAGCTAGACTAGTTAGTAGAGGAAGTCAGGGGAGAACAGTATAATAGAAGATGGAAAGATTCACCTTGTTTGAGTTGGTCTTTACCAAAACAAACAGGTTTTAAGCAAAGGAGTAACCTGGCTGGATGTACGTTTCGAGGACTGCACTTCAGCTACAACATATACAAGGGGGGTAAAAATGATCTGCACTCCAGTAATATGAAAACTCCCATTCTTGCCACAGCTTATAACATCATTGAGCATGTATGTGAAATAATTCTGTTGAATAGACAAGTTAACAGTAACAGATTATATGGGAAATTATTTGCAAATTAGCATGGCTCTGCCTATGAAATAATCCACAATAGATTTGGGTTTCAAAAACTTTGTGTGAGATGGGTATGGAAACAACCCATGAAGAGCATAAACAGAAGTGTCTGGACATTTGAAAACAAAATTTGGACAGGCACTTGAAGGAAGGTAAAAGTTCCTTAAAAAAATCGTTACTGGTGAGGAGGCATGATTCATCACTACAAACCCTACAGTTAAATGGCAGCGTGTGGAATGGAAACATCCCCATCAAAAAGTTCAAAAGTCAACCATCAGCTGGAAAATTGACGCTTACTGTTTTCTGAGACTCACAAGGGTCAGTATTGGAACACTATCAGGAAAAAAGTTCAACAATTAGCAGTGCTTGTTACAGGGAGATGGTAACTGAAGAGCTGAAATCTAAAGTTCAGATTAAACCCAGAGGACTGCTATTCAAGGGCTTTGTGATCTTGCACAACAATGCATGTCCTAACACCTCTGCATACTATTGACACTCTGCAAAACTTCATTATTGTTGTTGTTGTTGTTATGTGCCGTGGAGTCGGTTCCGACTCATAGCGACCTTGCACAGGGTTTCCGAAGCTGTAAATCTTTATGGGAGCAGAAAGCCTCATCTTTCTCCTGCGGCACAGCTGGTAGTTTCGAACTGCTGACCCTGAGGTTCACAGCCCGATTTGTAACCACGTAGAAGACACTTACATACCCAAAATATTTAGAATACAAAACAAAACAACTAAAACCCCTTTCTTTAGTGTAGCAGCAGTGTCCTCCTCATAGGATTCTTGCTTTTCCAGTTCACTTTGAGACAACGAATTAAGATCGCCTAATGAAATTAACAAGTTCTGGTAGAACTGAGCGAAAATACATGCTGAAGCTGAATTTTAGATAGAATGAGAGATGGGGAATCAGAGACAATAAGTATAAACAGCTAATTCAAAAGTTTTGCTGTAAATGGAAGAGAAGTGGGACAGCAGCTGGAGGTAGAAACAGAGCGTATACCTTAAAAACAAGTAAGGTCTCATTCAAGACCAGCAATTTCTTGGGAAGCTAGAGTTCTCAATCCTCCCATTCATTTTCGACTGTCAGTAATAGTAGGTAATATGTATTGAAAGTTTATTGCTTAAAAGTCATGGTAGTACAAACGCTCTACAAACACGTGTAAGAAACATACTCTTATGAGCTTGTTTTTTTTGTTTTTTTTTTTTTCAGAAAAACACACTGAACAGAGTAAATACTTGTTTCAAAGTTCCACAGATAAAAAGTCGTGGGACCTAAGATCCAGACGTCTGTCTCTTGACATTTAGAAACGCTCTAGGGGAGTATCATTCCTGTGATGCGAGATCAATCCCGTGAAACTCCTCCTGCCGGTGCACCCTCTTCCCCCACAGCCCGCATCCGGAGATCACGCGCACGACGGAAAGACACAGAGGAACTTGTTCTGAGGCCCCTGTCAGTCCCATACGCTCCCGTGCTTACCTCGTTATTGAGGTTCAGAGTTTCCAACTGAGACATAGTAGGTCCAGAAACAAGATCAGCAGAATCAACTCTCCGTTTCTGCCGGCACGCGAACGGCGTCTGTAGGACTGCGGCTGCGTCAACACGCCTCTCAACGGTGGCCTCTTCCGCCCAAAACTCCCCCGGGGGCTGTTAAGCGCGAATATTTTGGCCTAAATCCAAGCTTTGAAGGGCGTAACGGAACTGAGAGTCAGCAACTTCCGGCACAAAGGACGCGACGGGATAGGGTGTTTCTTGGCAAACCATTAGCGAATGAGTGATTCAGAGGTTGCTGTACAACCTGTGTGTTTTCACTTAATAGTTATTGTTCAGAATGTTGATTTTAGTATGCTCTGGTGTAAACTGGCCGTGGCGATGTTGCAGTTTGTGTTTTGTCTTTCAGTGAAGGTGAAAGCTATTGTAAAAGGGTCAAGCACTTTAATCACCGATTTCTGATCCAACTTTGAATCTAGAATTTGTGAAGATTCCTGGGTTTTCTAGCAATGCATCCTTATAGATCCTCAGAGCTATGTGTTCAAGCTTCACTTGTAGCTGAAGTGTGGACATATTTGTCTACACGCTATGAGAATGTGTCCGCTTATACAATGAACATTTCTTATATCTACCTGTGGGAATGGCCTTGGGTAGAAGAGAAACCAGGATGTGAGTCAGTGGCGCTTGTAGGAGAAACTCTGGGCCACAAGGTCGGTTTGAATAACAAGGGCGGAGATTCAAACTCACTAGCTGGTCCTCAGAACCCCTCTCCAGGGTCACTGTGAGTCGAACCGAGTAACAACTACTAGATAATCCATTAACCGGCTCCTGTTGTGACGCTGTTGGATCAGGACTTGTCTGAAAACCACAAGGTTGGCAGTTAAAAGCCACCAGATGCTTCTTGGAAACCCTTTACAGGGTCACTATGAGTCGAAACTGACTTGAGTACACTTAGCAACAACAATACATTATTATGGGGTCTCGTGAGTGGAATTAGACTCCACACAACTTTTTGTGGTTGTCGTTTATAACTAATACTTACCAATTTCTAGTATTGTGTGTTACATAGCCCTGGTAGTGTAGTTTACACTTTGGACTTCTAACAAATAAGCAGTTTGAATCCACCAGCTCTCTGCTAGATAAAGATGAGCCTTTTTGCTCTCTGTAAAGATTTACAGCCTCCAAAATCCTTTGCAGGATGGACGCCAGTCTGAACCAATTTAAAGGCTCCCAATCACAGCCAACAACTAATATTTGGCATTCAAATGAATTAAGGGCAGGGCCAGAGGTTTGCAGGAATTTATCTTCAAAATCATAACAGAAATCCAGTAAGAAAGGAACTGTTATTCTCATTTTACAGATGAAGAAATTGACTTCAGAGGAGGCAAGTGTCTTGCCCAGGGTCCCCCAGCTGGGGAGACCACTGCTGCATGACTAAGTTGCTAGGCTCAGTACAAAATTGAAGATGTAAGAACTTTTGTTCAAAAAGAAAAAGGAAAAGTTTCTTTCCTTCCTCCATGATCTCTCTTAATTTGCCATGGTTAGGTTCTTTATTTTTGTTTGTTTTTTTGGTATTTAATGTGACACTCTCTCAAACACAGGATACTGGAGCTTACCGTAGTAGATATGCAGTGTGTGCACTTGAGCAAGGTGGCAGGAGTTACTGGTCATGGGCAGGAGAGTGGGAAACTAGAAAATCCATTTGAGGCATATTTTAGTTTCTTAGTTCTGCTATAACAGATATACCTTACATGGGTGGTTTTAGCAAACTAATTCATTGGAGCAGCTAGTGGGTTTGAACTGCCAACTTTGTGGCTCGCAGTCCAGTGCTGATCCTGCAACACCACACCAGGAGTCCCTATAGAGCTTGTTGTTGTTGTTATTTGTCGTGGAGTCGGTTCCAACTCATAGCGACCCTGTATAGGGTTTCCGAGGCTATAAATCTTTACGGGAGCAGAGAGCCTCATCTTTCTCCCACGGAATGGCTTGTAGATTCGAACTGCTGATCTTGAGGTTCGCAACTCAATTCGTAACCACTATGCTAGAAGTCTAAATCTAGGGAACCAGCTTTAGAGGAAGATCCTTGTCTCAGTTTCTTTAGCATTCTTCTTAGCATTCCTTAGAGACCTCCAGTTGGCTTCTGTCGTTATAACTTTTGTAGTTTTTTGCTTGGGTGCTTAATCTATTCATTGTATATTTAAAAAATAGAAAATATTGTATATTTTAAATTTGAGATATTTGAGTTCATTTAAGATAAGTTCTCATTAACATGACAAAAACCCCTATTCCCAAGTAGGATTGTAAAGTACCATGGACTGTCTAAAGAACAAACAAATCTGTCTTAGAAGAAGTACAGCCAGAATACCCCTTGACAGTGAGGATGATGAGACTTCATTTCACATACTTTGGATATGTTATCAAGAGGGACTACTCTAAGGAAAAGGGCATTATGCGTGGTAACGTAGAGGTCAACGAAGTAGATGAAGACCCCCAATAAAATGGACTGACACAGTGACTATAACAATGGGCTCAAATGACACAGGACCAGGCAGTGTTTCATTCTGCTGTGCATAGGGTTGTTATAAGTAGGAGTCCACGGCACTGAAAAATAGGATACAATAAAACTGCCTCACAGTGTTTCCAAGGCATAAATCTTTATGGAAGAAGATTGCTACTTCTTTTTTCTAGTGACCTGTTGGTAGGTTTGAACTGATGACCTTTTCATTAGAAATGGAGCACTTAGGCACTGTGCAATCAGGGCTCCTTCATCACAGGTATCCCCCCTGCCCCCTACTGATATGGAGTGGATTCCAACTCACAGTGACCCTTTATAGGGTTTCTGAGGTTGTGAATCTTTACAGGTGCAGAAAGCCTCATCTTTTTCCCATGGAGCTGCTGTTGAGTTTGAATTGCTGACTTTTCAGTTAATAGTCGAGTGCTTATTTACAGTGCCACCAGGGCTTTTTAATCATAGGTGGAGGTGGTAGGATTTACAATACAATTTCTGGGAGGGCCACAATTCAGTCCATTGTAGGGAGACCCAGAGGCATCTTGGAAGACAGACCTGGTATTGTTTTTCCAGAAGATCATAGCCTTGATAAGCCTATGGAGCAGTTCTAATCAAAACACATGGGGTTTCCATGATTTGGTATCAACTCCACAGCAACGAACAGCATCAACAACAGTGTAGGTAGGAGTGCACATGAACTGGGCTTACAAACCCAAAGATAAAATTATTAAGAAATTCAAGATTACAGTCAAGCAGCATTAAATCAACTGTAGGCCTACTTCTGAGCATTTTGCCTTGTGCCCATGAATTACAAGGCCACATGCTCAGAGTCCATTCTTTTAACACTTTATATTCAAAATAGCTCAGATTTGTACTTGAGTTAGTGTTCTTACGTTTTGATGCATGATTTGGGCAAAGATAGGTTAACTACTGACTTTTTGTTTGACTAGGTTACATGGCTAGTTTTTGCCCTTACTTGATCAACTGAGTTGTAATTCTCTCCCTTTTTGTATGCCTCTTCTCAATAAGGACAGGACAGCTCAGTAATTGCAATGTCAGCAGTTGAAATTCAACAGATGCTCTCAGAAAATCTTACAGGGCTGCTGTGTGTTGGAATCAGCTTGATAGCACACAACAACCTCAGTAAGGTCCCTAGACTGTAGGGACTTTAAAACTACAATAAGATACCATTACACCCCTATTATCAAAACGAAAGTAATCTGTTGCCATTGAGTAGATACTCATACATTGAGTAGATTCCCATATGTTACAGAGTAGAACTCCGTAGGATTTTCTTGACTGTAATCTTTAAGAAGAAGATTGTTAGACCTTTTTTTCATGATGCTGCCGTGTGGATTCAAACCACAACTTTTTGGTCACATTGTTGGTGTTAAGTACTGTGAAGTCAGTTCTGACTCATAGCCATCCTGTATAGTGTTTTCGAGGAGTAGCTACGGGGTTTGAACCACCAACCTTTCATTTCAAATTAACCTTGTGGTACAGTGTTTATCCTACAGTGCCACACCAGGACTCCGTAGATCAGAATAGCAGAGTGCAAGCCATTTTGCCACTCAGGGACTTTATATACCTATTGTTAGGTGCCGTCAAGTTAATTCCAACTCATAGTGACCTAATCTATGACAGCAGAATGAAACATTGCCAGTGCTGTAGCATCCTAAGAATGTTTGAGTTTGTTAATTTTTATGTTTGAGTCCATTGTTGCTGTCATTATATCAATCCTTCTCAATGAGGGTCTTTCTTTCTATTTTTCACTGGTCCTCCACTTTATCCAGCATGATATCTTTCACTAGGACCTAGTCCCTACAAGCAGCATATACAAAGTACAAGAGACAAAGTATTGCCATCCTCACCTCTTAGGAGCATTCTGGCTGTACTTCTTTCAAAAATAAATCAAAGAAAATTTGTTTGTTCTTCTGGCAACTCAGGGTATTTTCAATATTCTTCTCCAATACCATAATTCAAATGCATCAATTCTTCTACAGTTTTCCTTATACATTATCCAACCATCACATGCATATGAGGCAAATGAAAATACCATGACTTGGGTGAGACACACCTTAGTCTTCAAAGTGACATCTCTATTCTTTAACACTTTTAAGAGGTTGTCACTAAAATAAAAACATCTGACCATAACAAGTGTTGGTGAGGATATGGGGCAACCAGAACTCTTAAACACCGCTGGTCAGAGTGTAAAATGGTACAACCTTGTTAGAAGTAGTTTTGTAATTTTTAAAGAAATGTAATACCAACCACATGATCCAGGTGATCCCTTGCTAGCTATTAAGGGAAATGTAAGCATATACAGCATACAAAGACTTATACATAAATGTCCAGAGAAGCTTATTTGTAAAGGCAAAATATAGGAACAACCCAAATGTTCATCAATAGATGAATGGCTAGATTAGGAATTAGAGCCAGTTTGAACCAGTTTGGATGACTCACTGAAATTAGACCCGATCTCAATTGTTAAATGTAGATATACTTATTGTTG